TTCATACAATAATGACTTAATACACCTATTTTCAGTAAATAATCAGCAATCATCTTAGTAATAATTTTTCCATAAACTATATTAGGCACTTTAGCAATAGTAGTGGTAGTAGTTGAAACAATATAGTGATTTTTATATGCTGTTTGTTATAGTCTAAAACACATATGAATAAATATACTATATCCAATTTGAAAATCTATAATGCAAAAAATTGGGGTAGCAGTAAAATACACCCATCATTTAAATATATTAATTGATAATTTGTCTGTAAAAAAATTACGAACACTTACCATTTAAAAACATTTAAGTACATATTGTTACTGTTGTTACTCACTGCAGATATTTTTTTTTTTATAAATGTATGACAAAAAACCTATACGTTTATAGTTATTAAAAAGAGAAAATTTAAGAATATAATAATTACTAAGTTCCAAATTAAATAAAACTAAGATTATTTACTTTTAAAACATCAAAAAACTAATAGAAAATAATAATAAAAAAAAACTAACGATAAAATCAGTGTTGCCAACGTAGAACTAGGTTTTCGAGCTAATTTATAATACAAAAGTACCAGAAAAATATTTTTTTAAGTTTAAACTGGTATCAATAAATAATAATAATATATAAATATGAAATGCAGTAATCTGAATAGTAGTGCTGGATGTATAAATACACAAAATATGATATAAATTAAAAAATATGAGTATAATAAACTTTAGGACCTGTACATATATATGCAATAATTATACTCTGCTAATGACCAGACTATTATTTATAATGATAAAACCCTTAAAATTACTTATACAATAAATACATTATATAATTGTATATGTTATACACATAGATGTTGTACAAAGCTTACGCAAGGGGAAATTTTGTCCGTGGACGAAGTACCCATCCTTTGTAAATTATATAATAATAGCTTTTTATTGACAATTTTTAAATAAAAATATTTTCCTTTATTTCAATGGAACTATTTGAGGATAGAGGATAAATGAAATATAAGGAAGTAGAAAGAAGAGACTAGATCATGTTCCGAAAAAGCTAAATTAGTAAAAATGGACAAATGTCAATTTTGAACCTTGTATGACAATGTCATAAAAAAACTACAACAGACATATATTCTACTCAGTCACTGGAATGTATAGACGGATTTATATAAAATTTAAGGTAAGCTATGCATCACTAATAAAAAAGAAACTGCGTATGTACTATAACCATAGCGCGATACGGCAACCGACGGCACGCCTCTTCCTCCTGCGTTGTCGGTATCCGGCTAATATACTCTTCATGATAATTGAAAAAAGTTGAATGATAACAATTGAAGTTTGATATTTAAAGAAAATATTTTTGTTACCATCCAACAGCTTTTTAATTTAATTTAAACCGTTATAGAGACTAAAAATAGTAAAAAGTTTCTATTCTTGGTCTGTTATTAACTTAGATCTAAGGATCTAAAATTATGAAGACTAGAACAAGCAAAATTTTTTTTATGGAGACACGATTAGATGTTAAATTACTTACTACTTTACCAAATTAATAGAAATACTAGTCCAAAAAAGGAATCAGTTAGAAATTCATTGTTATTTAAGTCCGTATAACATAATATTTTGAACTAGCTTATATCCTGTGGCTTTACCCACGTGAATTACATTACAAGAATTAGATTTTTGGAAAAAGTTTTAATTTTCTTATATAACCGTAAATGACTGAAAACATTTGAATAAAAGTAACATGCCCATGTATAAATAGAAATGGCAAAATTGATGATATACACGTAGATATCTCATGAGATGAAGTAAGTACTTACACTATTATTCTGTAATATGAAGGGTAGATAAGTATCACTACTATTTTATTCACTTATTACTTGCGCTATCTATGCTGGTGGAGTACCAATGATAAATGATAGGTGATGATGAAGTCATGACAGTTGACCCATAATAACAAATTCACCTTTTTTTTCTTTTGAGCTTTAATTTAGAAAAAAGTTATAGAATATACTAATGGCTAAAATAGGTTTTGCTTTATATTAAAACAAATAATAAATAGTAGGTAAGTAACATATTGGTGTAGTCTAAAATGTTTTTAAATAAGTATCTTTATAATAGAACATTACATTAATTCAACTTACATACACTGTTTCCTAAATTTATTCATAGTTTTAGTAGGTAGGTACTTACCTACTTTTATGATCAGTTGGGTACTCCGACAATGTTAGGTAGTTTAAATTGGGACAACAGATGTTGACAAGCTGTCGACAGTGTTGTTTGATGGCCGGATGGGCCTGGCAATGTGATAAAAGGATATTATTGGTTATTGGACTTAGAAGTGGTAATTGACATTGTTATAAGAAGGGATAGGATAAGGGGATAAAGCGATTCGAAAAATTCACCTTGCTTTTTTGGGTATTAAAATTACAAATTCCTACCAAATTCTGCCATATTTAGTAGTAATTTCTAGCAGTTACATAAATAGATGGAATGAGCCTAACATTTACTAGTTATTAGATTTACTATTTAATAGTATATACAGTTAATACGTGACAAATCAACCGTTAAGATGCCTATTGAAGTAAAAAAAAAATTAAATACATTAAGTAACATTGGAAATTGTTATTTTAAAAAATGACATAATTGAAATATTGTCACATTTTAGCTTGAACGCTTTTCAATATGGAATAAAATAGTTTAATAAGTATCTATATATATTAATTAAGTAGATATCATCATCAACAAGCGAGACTAAACAAACGGTGTTTCGCGTAGGAGGAACATGAACTCAGTACTAACATACACAAGTACTTACCGTAACCATAAGAATAAATATTATTATTCTTATGCCATAACTAGAGACCCGTATCTAACCAGATGGTTCAATACATACATGTAATATATTGGATATACTAAGGACCTACACGCGTGTTATACAAGGCTTGCGTAAAGGAAGTTTTACTACAATATACGAGTACAATGTCTGTACAGGCCTATATGAGAAGATTGATATTGTGATCAATGCGGCCGATTCAGAGGTGCTATCTTTCTATACTTCTCCTAACCTATTACATTATTTTAATAATTTCGCGAATTTATTTTTTCAACAAATTTCAAAGTAAGCAGATTCTTAATTCGGTTGTATTTTTTTATGTTTACCCTGTACCCTGTTATATCAACCTTCACCTGGAGTCTCGTAGTAATTTTTTTATAAATTCGGCACAATGAGATCGCTTTCATTTTCAATCGACTTCAAAAAGAAGGCAGTTCTCAATACAAATGTATTTTTTTTATGTCTATTACCTCATAATTCCATCAGTTTTAAACCAAATTTTAACAGATTGGTTTCATAGAAATTTAATCAAAATAGGCTCAGTAGTTAAGTTTTTAAATCAAATTAACTGGTTTTGTCACATTTTAAATCAGTTTTTTGTGGGATATAAACTTTGATTATTATTTTATACTTTATAATAAAACTAGAATTGTTGATATAGCCAATAAGACTGGTAGACTAAAATGCCAATGGGTTGGGCACACTTGGCGCAGTACCGATGGTCCTTTATGCAAACGTGTTCTGTAGTGCTATTCTCTAAGCAAACAGCCTAGACATCAGCCTTGACGCAGCGATGAAATATTGAAATGGTATTCACTAATTCTTAAGACGCGACACTAGCGCCCAAAGACGAGCTCAAAGACGAGCGGCATAAACGGGAACTACTCAAGGCTGTGCGATTTGACATTTTGCCATAGTATTTGGTATTCACTAACAAAAATCAGCCTCGCCTTCGCCGACAGCCTAGCCTACAGCCTCGATTTCTTATGTCAAACTCAAAAGCTTTGTTTTCTACGCTGTTTGCATAGTATTCATCTAATATATTTATTTGTTTCTTGAATTCTGTGATTATTAATTGTATTGAAATTATCAATTTGTGTTTAAAAACGATTGCTGCCCGTTTATGTGTAATGACCCATTTGTTGAAAGAAGCTAAAATAGAAAATGATTGTAAGAAATGCCGACAATCAACAACTTTATGTGATGTGGATTATATTCATCATTACCGACTTTCTGAAGAATTAATCAATATGTTAGAAAAAGAATTGTCACCATGTATGCCTGTTCCAGAGAGTTGTTAAAGCTAAAGGTTTGTAACTTAAATTTTATTAATTGATGGTATTAGGTACATAAATAAATTTAAAGCAGGAAAAAGAATACTTTGCAGTGATTGTGTGCACTTGTTTATTTTATTGAGACAAGCTTAATTGTGTCAGCAGATGTTTGTGTAGGGAACAACTAGCTAGTTAATAATGGTGTGTAACAAGTATTCTAGTATGCATAATAATACTTCTGGTGTTACAAACATTCATGGATCATGGTAACCATTTCCCATTAGGTGATCCATAAGCTTAGTGGCCTCTGGTTTTGTATAAAAATAACTATGTCTAATATGTTAGAAAGAAACCAACTTAGTTAAACATGTAGTAAATTATTAATTCATGTCAATTAATTTTTGTTAAATTAGACCACTAAATTTAGCATTCAGGTTGAAACTATTATAAAAAATTGTTTCAAAATCATAGTTTTAAAAAACATGACACACATAAATTCAGGATTGGCTATGTGGCTAATTAAAAATAATTACCATTACTTGTTTTTTTTCAGGTGATTTTGAAACTCATTTAGTAGCATGACACAAACCCTTGGACAGCCACAATAATAGTAGTGTATTGCTGTATTGTTTGTGATATGCTGATAATATGATGCAGTTACATCATCTATACAAAATGAAGAAGCACAAAAGAAAATTTTGTAGTCTGAAAATAAGCTAGCTATACTTTTTGTACTTATATCTTAAAACTATTTTCAAATACTTTTTTATTGTTACATTTTTGTCTACCTGTGAATTAAAATTAATATTATATTATGTTGTAAATGTATATTTTAATTTAAAATTATTATAATTAATTCATATTATAACTAGTATGGAGTAAGAAATTAAAAAAAAAATATTCATTAAAAATTATTTATTTGAAATTGAAACAAGTTTATAATTATAAAATTTTATTGTAATTGTGTTTTTATTTGAAAATTATATAAGATGAAACTTATATTTCAAAATTACTAATGACTATTAAATGACATAATTTAATCTTATATTTTCAATAATGAACTTGATTTAACTAATAATTCCAATAACTCTTGTTATGTTTGGCAGTGTATATTTTTAGAAATGTATTATTGTAAAATCTATTAGTATTTTAAAAACCAAAATTGAGGTTTCTCCCCTTCTTCACAATGGATGGTAGAATCATAAAGAATTACCATTTATAATATTTTAAATTTAATTGAATAAAAATTATTTGACATTTTTTAAAATTTTTTTTAATTAAATCATACAATGGCTGACTTTAATTTAGTCATATCTCATTCATTAGCTATAAGATATGAACTAGTGTTGTCTGATTCTCTATCAAAATTTGTTCTGTCTCTACTCGGTGCTCTTCAGTGGCAACAAATCTTTGTGAGACTACTCTCTTTCTAGTTGAGGCTGCTATTGTGAAGGAGATAAGTGTCATCGGGATACTGTCAGTCAAATGACGGCGTGGACCTAAAAATAACAATAAGACCAATTAGACACATAATTCTAAAATTATAAATTAGTTATTTATTTAAGATACTCCACAAAAATATAATTGATCCTTTTTTCTGTTCGTGTATGTCCTGTCACAAGCCATGTCTGATTCTTTATATAATCCATCAGCATCTCCGACTACTTTGCGAAGGGACCTCATTTCATGGCATGTTACGAGATATGCATTTATTTTAGTTACTAAAAATATAACCTTAAAAACAATACAAGTAAATAAAAAGCACATTTTACTTACGTATTTGATAGATACATCCAAACTTATAAAACGTTGGTAAAGTTACGTTAATTTTATTAATTATTTTTAAAAGAGAATAAACAAATACAAAAAGTGCGCCTCTGGAATGTTAAGTACAAGGAATATAATACTCTCTACGTACCTACGTATAAGTGTTATTTGTTTATTTTACGGCAATGGAAGCAAGGGTATTCAAACAAATCTTAACTTTAAAAAACAAAATCAAATGTTTGATGTATAAATTTATGTTTATTTTATATAATATTTATTTAAATAACATTCTAAACTGAATAAAACATTCCATTTGTCAATAAAATATTATATTTCTACAGTTATCGGTTTCATTTTACGGTTTTTGTTGCAAGCCCTATCTCGTCCGTGCGCACAGCCTCGAGTTATCACAGCCTACAGTTCGTCGATGAGGTTTGACACGTTAGTGAATACCAATTACCGCAGCGCTGTAGCCACGGTCGTTCGCAAGGCTGATCAGCCTAGACTCGTCGGCGGGCGCAGCGTTCATTGCTGACGTTGATGACTGTTGTACATGGACCATCATAAACAAGAATTACAATAAGTTTGATTATCTGTTAGAAAATTATTCCATATTGGTATTAAAATTTCACAATGATATCTAATTGAAATTTTTATTTTAGAGTTTAAAGAAATAGCGCCTCAGAATCGACCTCAATGGCTGTTTAAAGTAGTCATTTCGAGACATTTTATTGACGCTTTTTGTAAATCTAAACATATTCACTTATTTCTATGGAACTTAATTAAGAGCTATGATTTAAGGTCAGAAGCTAAACGAAAATACCTTAAAATAACTGCATAAGAAGAAAAGGCGCTAGATCAAGCATGGAAAAGTTACTCAAAATATCAAAAGTGTATTATTAAGATAGACAATTATTAATTTTGTGATTTTTATATTACCCCAAACAGTTTATGTATTAGTTACCTATTTTCGACAGCTAATTATTTCGTTTTTAATAATAAAAGAATTTAGGGGCTTGTAGGAAATCGTACTTCATATATTTTTTTTAGTATTTTAATTTCTGATGATTTCATATATAATATATTTATTTATTTATTTATTCTGGATTAGGCACACCAACAGTATACATGTTACACATAAATTAAAAAACATTTCTTATGTAGTATGCTGATATGCATACCTATAGCAGGCGTACACAACATTGACTACAGATTATATGTATATAAATGTCATAATATAATTAAAATATTATATAAATTATATTAGAGATACTTATGACGTATCTTACATCTAATGTTTACCTATCACAGCATATTTATCAAGTGGTAAGCTATTACTTTTTCAATAATTAGATAAATATTTGTTTGTACTTTTAAAATTAACAAATAATTTCAATTATCACACTTAGGTACCTTTCTATATGAACACTGTTAACGGCAATTGTTTTTGGCGGTGACCACATGGAGGTCGACTTAACATCGTATATAGTAATGAAGTCCCCCACCCAGCTTAATTTCACTAACAGTTGTTAAGAGGCCTGCCAATAAAAAATATCTATATTACTAGAACTCTTAGTACTCGTATACCTTCTAGCAAATCAATGGTAGATCTATACTCGAAAATGCTTATAACTGTATGTAAGTTTTGATGTACGTATTCATACATCGTCTACAAGTGGAATGTTCATAGCTGTCAAATTGAGACTATCTGATGTTATCGTACTATTATAATAAAATTGTAACTAGACGTGTCTGTACATTAAAGATATTTAAGAAAAATTGATGTAAGGAATATTGATAAGAACAATAGAAGTCAAAACAATATTTTTAAGACATTTTGTCTGTCTGTTTGAATATTTGTTCTGTAATCATGCCAAAAGTACAACACCAAGTTGGATGCGGTGTTCATAGTAGTGTTTCTGAAGATGTCACTTGAAATCTGGTACGTTTTATCTTGATACGCTATTTAAAAGTAATTTATTTATATGGCTTTCCTACTTCTGAAATCCACTCATACAAAGTAGCAGACCAAAAACTAGCTTAAAATAAATTTCATAAAAAGTGCTCTAGCTCAGCGGGGATGTCGACCTATGCTACGGGGAAGATAGATCACTGTGCCATTGTAAGTTTGATTTGTGAGTAGGGCTGCCATTTGTGAGCCGTGATTCACACTCACAGACAAGGCATCACTATTTCACTGTCAAATATCGCTATTTATCGGGCGCATTCCTTGACCTCTGAACTGAGATGCATCATGCGATGGCAGCTGACTTTGTTCGAAGTGAAGTTAATGTTTCTTGGATATTGGTATAACAAGAACGAATGGAGTTTAAAGTTCAGAAGCCAGGCCACGCGTACACCATGAAGGCTTTATACAAAAAGTATATAAAACTGTATACAAAACATCGTGAGTACTAATTACTTAGGATTGAGCAAGGTAAATAGGATTATAGAGCGAATCCGATCGTAATATAAAAACATTAGGGTCAATTCTGAAGCGCCAATTCTCTAAACTTTAGAGTCTAACCCCATCTTTAAAATTAAAATTTCAATATGACATCACAACGAAGTCTTTATTCTAAAGACCAATGTGAACTAAATTTCTAATAGATATAAGTCATAATTATTATAAATTTACTTTATAGTAGTCCATAAAATAGTATCTTCGCAAATCAAGCCCATTGTTATGTACATCGACACCTTGAAAGCATTGCAATCTATTAACATTTTGAATTTTCTTCCGTATAATTCCGGAAAATGTTTGATTGTTCATATAGCTTTGTTCATTACGTATTTCATACATGTTAGTTCGATCCATCGATTTATGCTGTCAGATTTGGAATTTGCAATAATAGGTGTAACCACATTGTATCTACTGCTTAATTTAAGATGGCGCTGTGTTATATTATATTGTATAATCCATCTCAATAGGCTGAGCCGTTAGGCTAAGATCGTATAATACGGAATAATACCGTTGTCATACCGGGGTAGGTGTAGGTAAACGAAACTGAATTGTTTACCATATCATTTAATACGAGTATTTATCATATTTTTTCAACTGTTATCGGTAGTTGAAGTAATTTTTTAACGTTGAAACACTAGGTAGGTACTTTTATTAATAAATTGAAATGTCACTAAATTGAATTATTCATGATACATGCATAAAAAATATTTTTTTTTTCTAACACTTATATAATAATACTACTTATTTTATATTTCACAACCTATCATAGTAATTTCACTGCAATTGTACCGTGTTAAAAAACGTTTGATAATGACACCTTTGGTTATACGAGATAAACTTTTGAATATGATATCAGACTAGAGACCAGGCTATTAGCCGATTGCTTGTTGGACGCATAGCTGCAGCGGCGCAGGCGCACGCAGCGATAACGCGGCGGGTCATCGCGCAGGAAGTGGCGGCGCGCGGCGCTTCAAACGGAACATTCTGCTGAGTGCCGACCTACTCGAGCACTCAGATAACATGTATTGAGTAATCGTTACATCGACCACCGCCTCTTGCCGACACAATCGTAATGTGGTGTTCGAAAGTTGCGCAACTCACTCCCAACTGCGGAATCAATCCTGGGGTGTCTGTTTAACAACTGCTACGCATAAAGTATAGGTACCTACAAAAGTTAATGATCGATTTTATTACTTGATCACGAGAGGGGCCCTGCTCGCACATTTACTGATTCAGGTGACAAATATATTCTTCTCTGCATAAAGATTCCTGACGTCAAGCGAGCACGTAAACAGTGTCCTCTCAACGAAACCATAAATCGATTCATTCATATACGACGTTTCGCATCATCAATCAATCGTCTATAAATAAAAGATGGAGACGCCACACGGGGAAGCGGCTTCCACTTCGGATTCTGACGTCAGTTACAATGGTAGAGGATTTTTTTTTATTCAATTCCTCATCACAGTAATATTTATTATTAAAATCATAATAAGTACCTATTTAACCTGTTGAAGAGTCAAATATTAAAACTTTAAATTTATACATTGTCATGTCAGTCGTCGTTTAGGAAATCATATCTAAACAGGACAGATATATGTAGTAAGTACAGTAAGTAGTCAATGATATATGGATTACATCTCTGGTAGGTAGTTATTAATTTACTATGATAAAATTTCACGTTAATTATTTGCGAAAATATTTTGGAAAACAAATGAGCAAGCTAGGCTATGAAATATCTGAGGAATGATGCAATTCACCGACGTGGATAGCTGTTAAGTTAAATGTTAGGTTGCAGATTCCAAAAAAGTGGCAGTATTTGCCGTAGAACTGATAAACGTTGGCGTAGACGTGTTCATGGGTGAAGACTCCGGATCGACAAATATAGTTTCAGGGACAACCTACGGCTAACTGAAGTGACTACATGCGGAATACGTGACTAGCAGTAGGTTATCCAGTAGCAGGCAACACTAGTCTGGTAACAACTACAATAAATATTTAATATTACCGCAGATAGGACTCAACCCAAAAAATATTAAAACGAGACTTGCCAGAATGCTGTATGTATTTCCTGAATTATTTTGATACCATTATTTAATTTTTATATTGATAGAGAGGTAGGCGAGCAGAAGAACTATCAACTGGAAAGCTGCTACCATCGCCCATGGACACTTGCAGTACTAGCGGAGTAACTTGTGTGTTGCCAGCCCTTTAAACTGACAATTTTATAAATTGAGTCCTCTGTTAAACTACATCCACTTGAGCTATTGTATAGACACGACTTTCGTACACAAAATTGTATGTTAAATGTCATTTATAACAAATAAACCCGCCCTTTAGCCTTTAAATAACTGTCTAAAGACATTTACACGAAAATTTCTTTAAAAACAAACCATGACATCATCTTCACATGACGCGCGAATCTCTGCACTGCTGCTTTTGCGATAATATGATTTTTTTTTGTGTCAAAATCGACTCTAGTGTGTGGGCAGCGAGTTTATCTGGCGGCAAGAGCTGAGCTTGATATCTCGTACAAATTGGCGACGCTGCAAACTGCGGTCAAGAGGTCATGCGTCGACTCGGAGCCGATAAAAAATCGCTCTCGTTGCTGGCGCTAGAACGCTTAGCTTATACATGCGTCTGTAGTGCCCTCACGCTCTCGTTTCTCGTCCATTGATAGTTAGGTTATATTAGCATATTTTCACAATCATGCAAATGATATAGGTATTATTGCTTAATATAAAAACATGTATAAGACCTCTTTTATCTGTTGTTGATACGACTATGTATATGTAAGAATCATAAAACGCTGTGTATTATACTCAAAATATTAGCATTTTTTTTGGACAGGTATGATCATAGTACCTAAGTGAAAAACTCCTATCTGAATTTTGAACGTTGTTCCAATAGCTATTACATACACACTTGAGCACTTCTAAAACTTCAAGGTCTAGATTTTTTTTTTTGATAGATGATAATGGAATGGTAACCCCGCCTGCGCTAACGGGATACGCTGGCGGAGCACCAGTGA